TCTTTAACTTATCATTCAAACTTATTACCTTTCCTTTATTTATTGAGTAACGGCCAAATCTGAAATCTTATTTACATTGTGTTTTTGGGGATACAAATTTAGGGTATAAATAAATATACTTTTGGTTTTGAATACGTAGTTAAATACGTAATACATATTGATTGTCCTAATTAATTCTCGTCTTTTTAATATACTTGCGTGCGTACGTTCATAGTATATATAATCGTTTTCGTATGTACGTACGTGCGTACTTAAATATAATAAAAATATGAGTAATCTATGGTCTAAAACCAAATCGATAGTAAAAAATAAAATAAATACTGAGTTTAGAAATGTGTGTGGTGAATGCAAGCGAATTAAGTCGAATGATCAACTTTGGTGTCGTTACTGTGCGGTTGAGCACTTTCAGAACAAATATTCTACTTGGGCAAGTGGAAATAAAGATATTGATCTCTTAATTATAAAATCACAGTTATTTTCTCGAAAATCCAATCAAATAATAGAGTGGATACCTTTTGAACGATTAGACGACATACGAGATATGACGAAAGGAGGTTATTCAGCAGTTTCTTCTGCAATTTGGTTGGATGGTCCCATTGAATATTGGGATTCTAAAAGGGAGGAATGGTCAAGGAAGTCTGGATATCTTGTAGCGTTGAAATTTATAAAAAAATCATCCACCACTAATGATATAGCTTTAAATGAAGTAAGTATTTGGTTAATTTATTTGGAATAATTTTGCTAAAAATAATTTTCTTATTTTTCAAGTTAAGGTGTCATATTAAATGTAATGGGCAGAAATCCATTATTCGGCTTTATGGAATTTCTAATAATCCAAAAACTGATGAATATATTATGGTGATGGAATATGCAAATTCTGGGTCTTTGAAAGACTACTTGATAAAAAAAGGAAAGGTAATAAGTTTGAATGATAAGTTAAAGATTTTCGAACAATTGGCTACAGGGTTAAGTTCTGTTCATGAAGTTGGACTTATCCATAGAGATTTACATCTCGGTAACATTTTAGTAAATGATGATGTGTCGTATTTAAGTGACCTTGGATTGTCTTTGCCTACAGAACAATTATCATCTGATAATATTTGTGGCGTCGCTCCTTATATAGCACCAGAAATTATTAAAGAAAAGCTTTATACTAAGGCTTCAGATATATACAGCTTAGGTGTAGTAATGAATGAAATTTATTCTGGTGACCCTCCTTTTAAGGGCCGCCCGCATGATGCACGCCTTTTATTAGATATTGCAAATGGAAAGCATCCAGTAATTGATAAAAGTACACCATGTATATTAAAAGAATTGATCAAAAAGTGTTGGAATAACGATCCAAAACTCCGTCCTACGGCAAATGAAATATTAGCAATTGTATCAAATTTGATTAAAAATAACCATCATTACACATGCGAAGATCCTTCATACAC